AAATGTACAGGACAGACAGACAGACAGACAGACAGACCAAAATTTTTCCGTCCAAGGTCCCCAAAAAAGACTGTCGTCTTTAATAAACGTTTATTTCAAAACAGTGTTCCGAGCAATCCCCGGTATCAACCTAAGGTGGGAAGGTTCTTTTGTCCAGGAACCCTCTGGCTTCGAATGCCCTCTTGGCCCTGGTGACGAGTTGTCGCTAGTCATCCGGGTCCTCAAGGACGAGCTTGGCCTCCCGCGTTTTTATTATGTGGTCGTCGTTGGTTCTTGGTACTTGGTCCCGCTCCGGTGGCATGTTGTGGTTTGCGTGGCACTGGCATTCCAGGAGCAAGTGTGCTAGGGTGTCCGGTACAGTGCAGAGCAGGCACAAGTAGCCTTATGTAGTTGATACGCACACATTTAGCGGTGCATTATTATTCCATGTATGTACGTCTTGCTTTGCAGCCGTCTGAAGATCACGCTTTGCTCTTTGGTTAGTTTTTGATGGGATGGAGGGCACACCCGTCACTCTAGTTTGTAGCGTTGAAGTAGCGACGGGTAGTTGTGTATACCCGGCGACAACTTTTCTTGGCACTGAAGGGAAAGCAACGGAGGCGGAGCTTCTGCCCATGCAACACTACGCGAAGTAGTCCGTTTTGGCACGCGCCTCGTAACGCCGTGGAAAGTGACGGGGGCGCACCATTAGCGTTTTATGTAGACGCAGACGCCGCTTATAGCAATAGAGGTGCACGTAAAAAGCCGGGATTTTCTCGCGCGTTCACAAACGCGAAGTCACAACAGATAAATTTTAAAAAAATACGATTTTTTTACTGGTGTGAGCCTCGTCCTTTCTCAAATGGCTCCGCATAGAAAATAAAGGAAGAACATTCATATTTCACGTTGAAAATACAGGCGCTACTTTGTAACTACATTCACTGGCGGTAGGATACATGTCATTTGGCCCTGCAGCTTTCCCTTCAGAGCCAAGAAAAGGTGTCGCCGAGCGTATACATCCATCTCTGCAACCACGAATCGGGTATACTTTGGTCCCAGGGCATCCCGGCTGATGTGCTCATGGGCAGCGGCATGGGCCGCTTCATTTTAGACCTTCGTGTACAGGAACCCAGATTATGCATTTATATGGAAGGGGGAGCTTCGCCGGTTCAAGGTGTTAATTGTGTCGACTGAGACGCGGCCCTTCACGTAATTCGGCAAGCGGCTTGCGAGTCAGTGAAGATCACCGTGGTTTCTTTACATGTGGTGGTGGTGAGAGCGATTGCCACTTCTTCCGCTGCGTCTAAGTTGCGTCCCTTCGACCGTGACCAACGCTTACTCTCATGTTTGAGAGTCTACGACGCTGATAGCGCACGTGTTTCAGGGTGGATACTTGGCCGCGTTGGTATAGCGGGCGTCAGGGTCTTGCCTGAACTTTCGTTGAACAGCTTCTGCTCTTGCTTTTCATCTACCTTTGTGGGACACGAATCTCCAGAATTTCGCGTTGATCGCAATGCAAGTACCACGACAGGTATCAAACCCACGACCTTCGCACCAGCAGCCGAGTACCGTAAACGCTACACCACCATAGCGAAAGATGAGTTCCATATCATTTGAGACATAAAGTATAAATTTTATTCCCGATTACTTATGATCCTAGCTCGTTTATCAGCGTCACAGTTATGGTTGCGCTTACACAAAGTCAACGCTAGACGAAGCACTTCAACAAATTTAGAAAATGACGTAAAGAGGCTAATACGAAAAAAAGAGAGATTGAAATGAGAGAGAACCGTGCCTTACATCCCACTTACAACATACTGATTTCTCTCGCAGGACACAAATGCACTGACGTCTTTCTGATCGTAGGGTACACCATCGCGGCGGGCTCTCGCAATTCCGATTCTCAACATATCAAAGCTGAAAAAAAAATTAGAGTTGTCTGGAGCTATGCATATAGACTGTACTATAACGAAAAAACAAGACGACACTTGCCAGGCTTAATGTAACGTTACTTCGATTTCGAGCAGTCCGAGGTTATCTTCAGTCTACTATTTCCTCATCCACTTAACCAACCTGATCTCGTCGTTCGATTCTGGGGTTACGTAAATCAACGAATCACAGTTATGGTCATGCCTTCAAGTGGAAAAACTCGAACAAAAGAGAAGCCAAAAGTGGCCTAATTTAGTTTTTTATGCTATTACTGGTACTAGACACTCTAATCTATATTTAAGCTGTCTAATTGTCTTATTTTTTTGCTTTTCTTACATTAAATAAAAGCCCCACGAATTATGTGAGCCCGCACCCAGACAGCTGTTTCAGTTTCCATGGGTTCATGATTTTGGTAGTCCTTTCTTAGCAGCAAAATTTCCTTCAAAACACTTTAGCATTCAACGTCTACAAACTCAATATGACTCATTTCGTGCATTTCCGCGTTTTCCCGTTTATTTAACTTTCATTCAGTGAAACAGGAGATATCCATAAAATTATTGCAAATCGCTTGAAGATAATGCTTGTGCAAACTTTGAAATTTAACTTCGGGTCCAGAGCGGCGTTATAGAAACACTGCACAGCGCTTATGAAGAAAAAGACTAAGGGAGAACCCCAGTTTTTATGCGGGAAACAATCTAATTTTTTTTTACTGTCTGCCTGCGCGGATTATCTTTAACATGCCCCTTGGCGCCCACCGTGCGCCGCGGGACACGTCAGAAGTCTCATTCATCATTTCACTTGACCTCTTCGCTGATCTTCGGGCATTTTTTTTCGACAAAGACTGCAAGCGATGGCCTCTTTATTGAATAAACGACCAATCTATCATATTGTCACGGCGTGTGCCATAGGAATTGCGAGATTACCGGACATAAAACAGCCTAAATCTCCTTGTCCCATTTGCACAAAATTTCAAGGAACAATGCCGTCTCCTGAAAACGTCAAGGTAATTTGATGTGTAGCTTGTTACTTCTTGAAAGCAGCCTGGTCCCGCGGTTGCTAAATAAGATGTATTACCAAGCGTGCAGTAGGCTCACGTTATAGCCTTACCGACAGTGTGACATGCTGCGCTTGTCTTTATCGGTTTTCACGCCGCCATTGACTTGTGTAGTGCGCCACAGGCTGAAATGCTGCCGGACTTTTTTTTATTTCTTCATAAACGGCGCCATAGGTCTCACAAGCTGAGTAGCGGCTGATTCGAGCTTGCTTTCGGCATTCAGGTTCCAGAAGCACTGCAACTCAGACGACGAAACGATAAGGCAGCGTCAGAACCGGCCACCCGTGGTAGGCGAGGAGCACGACTTCCAGCTACTCGAGCGCTTCTTTGTGGTCCAACTGAACAACAAGCACACCACCACGCCGCCAACCAGGAGATTCTTTCGCCATGTTTTCAGTGAATTCGGCACCATACATGGTGAGTGCGAAACCTGGAGGACTCTTTGAATGTATAACTGAACAAAGAAAAAGGCTAACATGCGAATTAGAATTATCTCGATCTGGTTAAGTACCCACAAAAAGGGGCTACATGTAAACTATTTATATATTTACAGCAAGCAGAAGCTAGAGAAAGGTCACACTGTCCCTTATGTGTTTACCTACCACGACTAGAATGAAACAGCCATATTTTCAGTCAATTTCATTAATGACTCCCTCCCGGAGTATCTGCATCTAACGTGTTTTTTTTTTTCACTGCCTCCAAGATCGGAAGAATTGGAAGCTTTCTGCACCTTTCGGGGTTTAGAAGTGCCTCTGAGAACGGCCCACCTTTCACCAAGTGACGATGTCGTCATGATGACGTCATGAAGTGGTGCCACGTTATGTGACATCGCAGTGACATCATGATGACGCCACAAATATTGACGACATATGACGTTGTGATGCCGTCATTGGCTTATTTTATTACGGGACCTTTTTCAAGGAACCAACCAGTCACTTTTCATGTTTTATGAGTCATAAAGGGCAACAGCCTCAATAAAGTCAAGAAATATTATTACACGTGTCTTAATTTCAGGCTACGCACAAAGCTGTCCGCCAGAAAAGAGGGCGTTTGTATTTAACACTGGTTACTGATGTTTTTTTTTGTCAGCTTGACAATACAGACTCAAGTGGTCACTCTTTATTTTATTTTTTTGTCATTTCTATTAGTCGATTCATAGGTGTCGTTCAAGTTTAGGGATCTGAATGTTTTTGTACGAGCCTTCTTTTAGTTTGTGCGGTGAACAGCGAACCTTGAGCATGAGAATGCAGTGAGACATTTATGTATTGTTACGAGCAGAACGCAGGTAATAATTACAATGGAAGGTTTGCATACGCTCTATCCGTAACGTGAACTCTAGGTACAGGTGAATGGAAAGAAAATATGTTGCACAATGCTTGCTTCATCGAAACCCTTTTGCTGTAACAGAAAGTGATGTTTTTGGTGCGGGGACGAAAAATTTAAAAATGAGATTCACCAAAACCGGTATAAGTACCCGAAATAGACTGTTGCAATCATAAGAAGTATACGATGATAATAAGAATGCTAACAAATATACGAAGTACGAGTGATAAGAAGTATAAGTAAGACATACGAATCGCTTGCAGTGTAGCCACGTCTCACCATTTTTGCAAAGTGAGCGAAATCGCCTATCGGGCACTTCGAGACACCGTTCATCCTAATTAAACGTCACTTCTGCTGCTTTTTGTAATCATCCCTCAAAATATTTTAATCGCACCCTACTCTCTAGGCTTGGACATTGAAAAAGTTTCTTTTTTATTATTTTTGTGCTTCAATCTAGTTCATTCTAAGTATTTCTTCCGTGCAAAGTGAGCCCCAGCTAAAACGCGTCTATTTGCTCTTTTTCTTTTTCTTTTTCTCGTATGAAATTTCTCTTTCTACCTGGCTTTGCCGTTTGTTGTGGTCTTTCAAAGTTTGTGCTACGCTATATGTCAAGAACTTTCACGTCATGTCGAGCGCTCTGTTCATTCCAGATGCTCCGAAACCTGGAGCCCAGAACACTACGTCTAGTCCATGGAGCATCTTCCACTCTCGAGGCATGGAAGGAACCTTCCACCCTGAAGTGCGACCGCAAGAAGAGCAATGGGTATTGCTTCCAGATTACATCTTTCGCACACCACAAGCATGCTTTCTCTCTCTCTCTCTCCAACACGTACAATTAATCGCCAAAAAGAGGACAAAGAGGAAGAAAGCTCTCCAATAAGAACAATGGAAATGCCAGTTTGCCCGCATAATAGAATAAAAGCCCCATCTAGCGAAAACGTGCGTTAGCCATAATAGTAAACTACTCTTACACGATATCAAGGAAGACTACTCTTTAAAGCAAGAAGAGATTGGCCTCCGAATTTAGAAACCAATTCAATACTTGTGACTTAAGTCACGCTCAACCTTCAGTCGTCCATTACAAGTTTCAAGAACGAACATTATACTTAATGCACGAATTTCCTTCTATACTTATCTTCACCATGAGGGGATCAGAAATTTTTGACATCAACGCAGATTTTTTTTCGCGAGTTGCAAAACTTATGTGCAAGAGTGCAGTTTAGTGGTAGCTTGCGTTGACAAACTTTGTAGTCGACGTTCGCACCACGGCACGGTATTTTTCATGCTCTTTTGGATGGCTCCGCGGAAGGTTCAATAACGCCGTGTTTGAAACGTGCGCTTAGTATCAAATTTTCGCAGCGTAGGAATTTTCCTGAAGAGAACAATCCTCCAAATCGCCTTTACATGTTGTGCTGAGGAGGGCGTTGTTCCACCACTGCAAAATTCAACGACGCCCTCATAGATAGTGTTATACTTCACCGGTACAATGCGTTCATATGGTGTACAGATGCATTCACGTTCTGCAAGCGAGGCTGTTCAGCCCAGTCCTTAAGACACTACATTTAGGAGTGTGGAGGCCAGGGTTCGAAACCGGGCACTGCCATCAGTTATGTTTTGTTCAATGCATTTATTACGGTGGCGTCGTGACTTGCTTTCTAAATGCTTACGCATTTAACAACAACAAAAAAAAGAGCAGGGGGCGACGCCGTCTCGACATCACCATTTTACGGCATTTTAGGTGTTGTCCCGTTTTTTCTTGAGAACCTTCAAGGTCTGCCTCATCCTTGACACGAGCAAACAAATACAATGGCATGCGGGACGTTACAACAGATGTACCACCGCTGATCTCACGACGAACTTTCTATTTAAAAGAAAAGAACGACTGACTTTTTTTTCTTTTTGCGTGTAAGGACCAACCTCTTCCTGCGAAATGAAATAAGTACTCATTAGAATTAATCATTTTATAGTATAAGCTAATTTTAGTGTTTCTGTTTTAGAGCGTCGCATTTACAATTTAAACGCAACAGAGCATTTACTAAAAAAACGTGTTATTAGGTACACTGTAAACAAAAATATGCCCAGCTGAGAGGAATTGGGGAAACATGCTCCCGCTCTGCTCAGGTGGCCTAACTCAAACCGGATTGTACCGGAGCGAATACATTCGTTTTCCACCGTTTTCATCCGGTGATCGCCGGACGAGTGAAACCGGAGGAAAACGGGGCCAATCCATTGATTATGCTTCCGTGGTTCCTCTGGAAATGCTCCCGCGCATCGTTTTTGTCTCGATGGATGCTCCCCAATTGCTCCGGGTCATCACTCACTGGCATTCATTGGCTATTCGAGGAGTGACGTAGTCAGCATCGCCATGGGGAGGCCGTTCCCCACAAACCAACATGGCGTGGACCAAGTCGGTGCAGTGAGGTTTGTGCGAAGCGTTCGACCGCGTTAGAGAAAAGAAATCATTTTGAGCACCTTCTCGATATCACAATCCACAAGCAGCAACGAACGTTATCAACGACAGAAGGAAGTTGTGCGAACGGTAATCGTGTGATGGTTCCTGGCAGTGAACGATGCATCGTTATCTCGCGAGTGTTGAAGGGCCCGGCAGTTGCTGGTTCGGCGACAAAATGGTGAGTGAGCTGTCCTTGAATTACCTGTGTTATTTGTGTCAGGTGGTGCTAAGATTGGAAAATATTGGGTCGATAAAGCAAACATGTGATCAATATTTGGCTAATTTCCCAAGATGTCATTAAAAAATCAGCGCAGTTCTGATAATGCGTTGTTTGTACTACGTTTTTTCTTGACATGACTTCGGTAAAGCAAAACGGAGAGGTGAGCGAGTTGGTACTGGTTCATTATGGAGTAAATGTAGTGCAAAAAAAGGTAACACCACAAGCACTTGTGGTTGTGCACTTTCTTGTACTCGTCCTTTTTGCGCAGCATTAACGTCATAGTAACTTGGGTAAATTGAAACAAGTCAATGTAATATTTGCAGCGTGGATTAGATATGCCACAATAGAAAATGTCATAGTTTTAGGCTGATTCCGTCAAATGATAAGAATTGGTATAGGTAAACCTAACTGGTTAAAAGATATTTTTGGTCTTGTCAGTACACCTACACGGTAACATTTGTCCACTTTCCAAAACAATGAACGCCAGGTTGAGGTGCACCTCTGCGTAAAAATTATTTTGATTGAATATGTAAGCTGAACTAATAAAACTTGAATAACTAAAATCAGTGTTAATTCTTTATAAATGTAGTGACTTGAGGTAGGCCAATGTGTTTGGTAAAGACTTTTAGAACGCATACACGCACTCATACTTGTGAAAAAGTGATTTTGGTTGGATAAATGGTATCTGAGATGTTAAGCTAGAAGTATACTAGACTCTACGTGGGAAGTGGTGCTTTCAGTGAAAAAAAAAGAGAGGGGCGAAACAAACTGACGATACTGGAGACAAGGAATGCAAAAAAATAATGCAAAAAAAATAATAAGCGGAATCGCTTGGCAGAACGAGTCGTGCAGCGCTTGACGTTTTTGTGAAGGAGGGGGAGAGGGGTTGTAAAGTTTACCCATATGACAGACCTCCTCAACATTCTAAGACGAAGGGGACATTGTAATGAGAAAAAGACAGAAAGGAGAAGGCACCCTTTCGAAAAAGTAGCCGTGCCCCGCCGCGGTGGTCTAGTGGCTAAGGTACTCGGCTGCTGACCCGCAGGGCGCGGGTTCGAATCCCGGCTGCGGCGGCTGCATTTCCGATGGAGGCGGAAATGTTGTAGGCCCGTGTGCTCAGATTTGGGCGCACGTTAAAGAACCCCAGGTGGTCTAAATTTCCGGAGCCCTCCACTACGGCGTCTCTCATAATCATATGGTGGTTTTGGGACGTTAAACCCCACATATCAATCAATCAAAAAGTAGCCGTATTTTATGTGTTGATGATGGGAGAGATTACTATCTTTGCTTCTGCATTTTTTTTCTCTTTTCAGTCGTGCTGCCATGACTGTGGCTGAAGTTTTTTTTTTTTTTTTTTTGCACAAGACGGGTGTGAAAACAGTGCTGAAACGTAGTTTTGACCTGGGAAATGCAACACTCGCTTGAGAACAGAAGTGGGAAAAATAATATTTCTTCAAGCCTTTGACCCTCATCGTGACATTTGCACGTGCATCACCTTCCGTGGCCTACGAACGTTTGCACGGACCTTTCAGTTGTGCGAACTGGTCGGCCTGCCCTTATTTCTGTGGAAATAGAGTTAGCTTAGGTGGCGTGATGTTTGTTTCTTTTTTTGCTTATTTATTTTGTTACGGTGTAGTGAACGTTTCCTTATTTTGTGCTTAAAGCTGTTTGTCTTCAAGAAATACATGCTCATACAATAACTACTTTGAAAAATGTTCATAGCGACAAGTATCAAAACAGAGTGGGCATTGCAAATAAAAAATAAAACAATGCCAACATATCCCTAAAGTTATTTTACGAAGGAGATAAAGCTAGGCTTTCCTTAAAGACCGGCCGCAATCATGCAAACTGTAAGGGTGCTCTTTGGTAGAAGTATGACGATGAGCACGCACTAAAATGTGACTGTAATAATCAGAATTATTATTAGATAAAATTAGGGAATAATAGGAAGGGGCATTCCCGGTGCCGTCTACAAGAGTACTGAAATAAGGTTATTTTAGTCGAAAATCGCTTTTGAATGTTTCAGCAAAGGTAGAGCTATCGATTTAGAAATATATAAAAAAAATTGGCCAGTTTTGAACTTTGTTCACATCACAGAGCTGTGTTTTTATAATGTTGCGGCTAGGTCACACCAGATTACATCGGAAGTGCTTCTTGATATTTAACGCTCATCTTGACTGTGTGTGTGTGTGTGTGTGTGTGTGTGTGTGTGTGTGTGTGAGTGTGTGTGGGTGTGTGTGTGTGTGTGTGTGTGTGTGTGTGTGTGTGTGTGTGTGTGTGTGTGTGTGTGTGTGTGTGTGTGTGTGTGTGTTGTGTGTGTGTGTGTGTGTGTGTGTGTGTGTGTGTGTGTGTGTGTGTGGTGTGTGTGGTGTGTGTGTGTGTGTGTGGTGTGTGTGTGCGTGTGTGTGTGTGTGTGTGTGTGTGTGGTGTGTGTGTGTGTGTGTGTGTGTGTGTGTGTGTGTGTGTGTGTGTGTGTGTGTGTGTGTGTGTGTGTGTGTGTGTGTGTGTGTGTGTGTGTGTGTGTGTGTGTGGGTGTGTGTGTGTGTGTGTGTGTGTGTGTGGTGTGTGTGGGTGTGTGTGTGTGTGTGTGTGTGTGTGTGTGTGGTGTGTGTGTGTGTGTGTGTGTGTGTGTGTGTGTGTGTGTGTGTGTGTGTGTGTGGTGTGTGTGTGTGTGTGTGTGTGTGTGTGTGTGTGTGGTGTGTGTGTGTGTGTGTGTGTGTGTGTGTGTGTGTGTGTGTGTGTGTGTGTGTGTGTGTGTGTGTGTGTGTGTGTGTGTGTGTGTGTGTGTGTGTGTGTGTGTGTGTGTGTGTGTGTGTGTGGTGTGTGTGTGTGTGTGTGTGTGTGTGTGTGTGTGGTGTGTGTGTGTGTGTGTGTGTGTGTGTGTGTGTGTGTGTGTGTGTGTGTGTGTGTGTGTGTGTGTGTGTGTGTGTGTGTGTGTGTGTGTGTGTGTGTGTGTGTGTGTGTGTGTGTGTGTGTGTGTGTGTGTGTGTGTGTGTGTGTGTGTGTGTGGTGTGTGTGTGTGTGTGTGTGTGTGTGTGTGTGTGTGTGTGTGTGTGTGTGTGTGTGTGTGTGTGTGTGTGTGTGTGTGTGT